TTGTTTCCAGTATAAAGGCAGCAATCTGCGGTGCCAACTCACACCGATGGCTTGAACCATCAGGGGCAACTTGGGGGTTCAGTGTCTTGCCCACGCCCACTTCGACATGTGGACTGCAGGCACCATGATTCAAACCTTCAACCCTCTGGTTGGGAGACATCCGCTCCACCCACTGAAGTACAGTGGCCACATCTTAGACGTGACCTAATGCTCAAAAAATGAGGTGTATGTATGTTCTACTTCTGTGTAGAAGCAACTTGGTTTATACACATCTGGCAAATGCTTGCAAGACTTTTATTCTAACAAAATTAAGTATGTGATAGTTTAAGGATCTCCTTGAATGTTTGAGAATGTTTGAGATAGAATGAATGAGATAGTCTCCAGGCAGTTGCACATTCATATGAGCTTGCTTGACATCCACCAGTGCCATTGTAAAAACTGAATTTTTTGACTGCGTGCACTTTTGTGGATATATTTTACTTCCTGCTGCCTGCATTGTGACCAGAGGATGTGGAGAAAAACACAGGGCCTGAGGTTACCACATGTCCAGGAATGTTCCTGAAGAGGGACTCGCTGTTTTATCTGACCGGGTCTAATCCGTGAATGATCAGCTCATCAACACTGGATTCCCACGGAGCACAGTACCTATTTGTTTTGACTGCTTGAGGCCAGTGTGTCTTCGGCATGTGGTGTGTTGCCCGTTAATGAGCGGATTAAGGATGATTTAAATGGAATTAAATTCACTGCTTTGGGACTGTATGTGGTCGTGTGGGGGAATATGCAGCGACCACCGGTTGGATTTATCGACCTTGGAGCTACTTGAAAGGGAGTGATTGTTCCACTGCTCGTTAGGACCGCGTTGCATGTCTGTTAATTACTTGTTTCTGTAATGTTAGAGAGAATTGTTGTAAGGCTGGAGAAGTTGCTATGTCTGCATTATGCCAGTTAAAATATGGGGTTTCTCAAGTACTTGCTTTGTTTAGAGTGTTACACATCTCTTTTCATTGT